TCTTCACTTGTCTCTTTCATGAGTTGTATTGTGGTGCTAAGAATGGCAATCCTCACTGGGCATGTACCACGTCCACGGTCCTACTCTGAACATGATGATGCATACAATGGACTCCAGACAATGTGTGTTCCTCTAAATCTTCATACCAATATGACCAAGTTGCGAAAACAAGGTGAAACAACTTCTAAAATTATATAATGCCTGATGGTTCCATTTATTTTTATTGGGCCATGTCTGTCAAAAAGATATCTTACAGAAGGTCTCTTGAGATTTATGAAGGTTACTCAATAAATTTATAGCTAGGTTGTAACAGGATATCATCATTAGTCTCAGTAAAAATCTGGGATGAAGAAAGCATGGCTTACCTTTAAAAGTTGCATCTGTTTTGTGAAAAAATGGCGGAGAATAGTGGTGAGACTGCTACTTGGTGGATTCGAAGTGTTGGTGAAACCCTAGCGAAGTCAAAGCAATAGCCCACCCCGAATGAAAGAGCCATTTGTGAAAACGTTTTGTGAGGTCCTTGTCTCATTCCTTTGCGGAAAACTTAACTATCGGACTTCATTATCTTAAGCGACCGAAGCTTACCGTATTTTTGTTAAACATAGACGACTAAAATATTTTTCAAGAAGAACTTACCTTAGTCGACAATTTTATCCAATGAACTATTCTTCCGTCACTTCCTAGCTGGTAGAAATCGGGATGTGTATTCTCAATGTGCCCATCCAAGGTGATAAGATGGATGAGATTTGCTTCCTTCTCATTCACTTGTTGAGAATGCTCAAAAGGGCCAAACTTATTCAATTGTGGAGCAGAAGGTTCCTGTAAAGATTGATCAGGAGGATCGGATTTAATGTCTCGATTCTCTAGATCCGTAGAGAGCTGAAATAGAGGGTCAAAATAGCAGATACAGACAAGAGTTTGAGAAGCCTAGCCTCGAGTTTGAACAAATGGCTTAAAAGGTAAATCAAAACTTATCTACCGCTGCAGCCATGCAGTCTGGACATTCAATTAAGTATTTTTTAAAAGCCATTTTCATTTTTATAAAAACTGCAAATGGTAACAATAATGTTGGCTCTGATGATGCCATTCATATGTCAAAGGAAGGTTCTGTATAATTTCGAAAAATCCAAAAAACCCTGGCTCGGTAAATGCTTTAGGATCAACTTTCGAAGGTGGCAAAATGATCGTAAATCAAAGGTTAGCTGCCATATTGTCATGGTGGAATCCACTGATTAGGCATTTTGGTATAAAATAAAATAAGAATATGCTGGGGAAAATATAAGAGCCGAAAAAATTGGACAGCCTATCATAGTTTACAATTAATAAAATAGATTTAACTTAGTTAAAATGTAAGCATTTTGGCATCTTTTTTATGGAGAGAAGAAACGCATCAATACAGGAATCCTTGCAGCCACAACTAGGGCACACAAAAATAGGAAGTGGTACCTGCAAATTATGAGTGCAATCCAAGCGCAGCCAAGTGGAAATACTGAAACCTGTCCTTGAGAGAGATACTGCTGCATTCTTTTCATCAAATCTTGGTAGACCTAGGCCTCGGTTGCTATCTCTGCATGACGGTCTAATATCATCGTGAGTATCAGTGTTTTCCTGAAGATTAGTGCTATTACAGCCTTTGGAGCAAACGGTTTCCTTGAAAACCTTCGGGTGATTGTGAAAACTTTGAGAACGATCTTCGTGGCAACAATTTCTAAAAGCAACCGGATTTTTAGCTTTGTTAGACATAATATCCACTATCCAACAGGGCCATATACTCTGCAAAATGGCAGAAATCGCAACCGGATATTGGCGAATCCCATAAAATTGATGTGGCTTGACTCTTAGCCTCGTCCTAGACACGTCATCAGGCAGGACAGGAACATCGTTGCAAAATTCATTTTCATCCATTTCGTTTCCAAGAGTCTTCGCTCCAATCTGTTCAGGAGGGAGGCCAAACGAAGGTGTAGAGCCAGAGAAAGAAA